TGACAAAAAACATCATTGCCGCTGTGCCTTTTCATCAAAAAATTGTAGAAGAGAACTTTTTTGATATCAAAAATTTTCGTAATTTGAAGCAAAGACCGTAATTTTTCTTTTGAATGCTTAAGTATTCTAATATACTACCAATTAAACATGGAACAATTTCAAAATAATGCTTAATAACAAAGTTGAAATTCGATCTTTAACTGTTAATATCTTACTAATTCAATATTTTTCTCGTGCTCTCCAAGTGAGCCTCTATCACCCCTTAAAAGGAAAGATGCCAATTTTAATTCACCCTGTATATATCAACAAACTAGCTTTACTAGGATCCTCGATTTTTTCAAATCACTTTTAAAAATTAGTTTTGAATTTACAGTTCATATTCAACATTTGTTTGCACCCGTTTTCAATTGCTCAACTGAAACAAAAGATTATCAGTTTCAAGAAGCATGTTTCTTAAACCTCAAAAACATTCGTCATAATTGTTTATATTACTAACAAACAAGTCGAGGCAAACTGATGGTATGCTCGTCTTTCGATTTGCCAGTCTCTCGAAGAGACAAATGCTCAAAGATCCAAATCCGCCAAGCTTTTTCGGTAACCGAATTAATTTGAAAAAAATGAACAATATATCCGACATAAAAATAATTCTGCCAACGGTTCACAGAAATATCGAACGCCGCTATTCGATTCAATTCCCGACAAATTTCTTACATTAAATTAAAAATTCTATATCAAATTAGTTCAACGAATACATTTCCAAAGAATGACATTTTAGCGATCTCCAAATAATATACTGACGTAGACAATGTCACAGGTGAGTAATCAAGCAGAGGCAGTGTCACGCAGTTCTTAGAAGCCGTATTATCTATCGTAGCCAGATTATCCTAAATAAAGTAAAATGAAACAGCTGCAAAAATGAATTGATAATCAAAAATCAATAATTCAACAACGAATTACGAACAAATTGTTCATCATACCTTCAAACTTATATAACACATAAAAAAATTTGGAATAAACGTCAACATCTGAATGGTACTGCTTAAGCCGTTGTGAAATTTTAATATTTAAAATGAGAAGCACATATGCAAAACCCGATATGCAAAAAATATTAAAATTGAGGTATTCGGGCCACCGTCTTCTAAAAGACCACATCGCATTACTTGATGAAGTTTTAATATTTAAAATGACAAGCACATATGCAAAAAATATTTAAATTGAGGTATTAGCGCCACTGTCTTCTAAAAGGCCACATCTCATTACTTGATTATGTTTTCAGCTCCAAAACGCGCTGTAACTCAGTTTTAACTTCAATGGGAAAAGTGGATCAATTCTCAAAAGCCGATATATGCTCGAGGGGTAAGATGCAAAGTCAGCTAAACGTTTTAAAGCTAATATTTGGGTAAATTGATAACATTACTGCAAAACGAGCTATTTTTGCATTTCGCAGGATTTTAATGTTTTACACAAACCGCCTAACCCTGTTTTGGGTTGCAGTAATTGATTATAAGCAGCATTAGTGTGGTGTGAGCTCAGGTCAATTGTGAAAGTATTTAAGATGAGAGAAATTATTTTTTTAAACTATGTTTAAATGGCTTATAGTGAAGACAATGTCAGTGAAAGTAATACTGTAGTTGAGACCAAGCCTTCACGTTTAAGAAAAGCAAAATATGATCTGAAACATGGATGCGAACCATTGGAAAAAGAAAAAGGGAGATTATTATGCGTACAACTGGACTTGTTTGGTAGGCCTTTACGAACTTGTCTGTACCAAAATCATGTCATGAAGAGTGCAACCCTTCATGCTAAATTATTAATTTTGTTATTAATTAAATGTTATTAATTAAGTTTGAGTAATTCCTCGAAGATATCAAGCAACATTTTACCAAATAAAATACCAAAATTTAGGGGCAGCAGGAAAAATTACCGATTAAGAGGGGGTAAACAACCTTTTTTTAGTTTGCTAAAAAGCTACATGTTGATAGCTGGATTATATTTAAAGCAATTACGCCACAACACTTAAACAAACCAACTTGTGAGGTGATATAGTAGAATACCAGTCAGCCACCTCGTCTCTAATGAGCTGGCTAATTGCCAGTAATGGAGCACAGCCAATCCTAAAGAAAAAAGAAAGTTTCAAATAATATTGAAATCTGATATATATCTTCTATTTACCATTTTATGTACCATCATTATAGAAAAATAAATACAATTTATATTAATTTCATAAATCATTTTACACTGATCGGAACATAACGCTTCTCTGTCTTGTTTATTCATTCTGGTGATATTAGCAACGTACGCATATAAATTCGAATTATAAAGGAGCGACTTTGTTTTCGTTTCTTAAAGTATATTTGATATTAAGCAGTTTCAGTGAGCAATTGATATTAAGCAGTTTCAAACTTACACACTTTTGAACAGTCACGGTTTCACAGCACACGTATTTTAACAAATCATGACTATAGTACTTTTGAACGCCCATCGCTCACTTCCAACATTCTAAAGATATACCGTTGTCCAAGAAAATGGCTATTTATAGTACAAGCCTCTAAAAAGATCAATACATGATTTGATGTACAAATGCGCCTAGATTATACTAGATTATATAGAGATAAGTACCCATATAAAAGTAAAAAAATTATAAACGAATCAATTAGTTGAAATCGAAAATTACTTAAACCTGAAGATTCAGAAAGAGAATAGTATCTAAAGGAGAAATCAAAAATTGAGAAGCCTACCTCAGTACCTGTCGAATGAAGAACATTGTACAAAGGAAAAAAAAAGAAATAATGGGAATCTATACCTATTTCAGAATAGTAGGTACGATAGCGTTAACTAGGGAAGTAATGCCAAAGTTAAGTTTTTTTATATAACGTAACTTTATTTTTCTATTACTATAAAGCGCCACTTTATGGACGAAAAACTGATCCATTAAATAGTTTTGTTGGTAAAATTTTATTTTTATTAAAAATGTGATGCACTCTAAATATCTGGCATACATAGATGCATATCCATGCGAACCGAATTAAGTGAATCGTTTCAACATGTATTTTTCACTTATACGTGCATAAAAAATGCTTGTTGGTGAATTTTTAAGATTTAGAACATTCTGGGTTGCTTTAGTTTGGGTTAATTTTTCATTGGTATAAAACACTTCCATTTAGACAGAATGTTTGGAGCAGTCTGGCAACGCTACTACCAGTTCTGCCTAAATCGAAGTAAAAGCAGACTTCCCTTTTTAAGTTTTCCTTATTGCGTACTGAAACTGCTTTATATAAAACCTACTTAAGTTACAAAAATAAAAAAATGGAATTTTGCCGGTTATAAATGACAGCATGACCGAAAATAATGCCACATGATTTCTTTGTTCTCATTGCTCGAAACAAATCCGGCCATTTACGGCAGTTTACTTGACAAATAAAAACTTACTCGTAATCTACTGACTGTATTTGATGATCGCTCAACACTTTTCTTCTAATTGCAATTATTGAGACACCAGAATTTGCAGCAAAGAGTAATCGTATTCGTTTCATGGAGAATCGATTTCATGTCAGACATCAAACATTTCATATTTGACATTGGACCATTGACATACTATTACTAAACATAGACTGGACGGCCTCATGATACATACACAAGGTAGGATCTTGCGTCGATTTGCGTGACGTCAATGGAAATCACTGCCTGGCGTGCTTTTTTCCTGTCTGCTAAATGTGATTAAATATAGCTTACTTAGTCTTTGTCACATTTAATTATTTTTTTACAAATCCTTATAGCTACAAGATGCTTTGCAGCACATGTTAGACTTGGAAATTAAAAGTAAAGAAACTGTATTTATTTTGCAGACTAGCACAGTTGCCAGTTGTGCAATAAAGTATAGCGTTAGCTGAAAATGTATCCTTGCAGAAATAGTACATTACGATTCACGAGACGGAAGTCCAAACAATGAGCGAATGTTACTTTCCTATTATTTACGACGGAATACGCGGTTTGTGGTGCGCGGATGATATGTAAATTTTAATACAAATGAAATTACTGCACACCGCATTTTTTATATTTCTGAAACGACACTTAAAAGTAGCAAACAATGTAGAGTACACTTTCCAACTACCAATCGCAAAATGCTCAGTTTTGTCTACAAAATTTCCAAACATGCCTAAACGCATTGACCCATGATACAATGAATTAATTGTACGACAATGAATTAATTTAGGACGGCCGCACATAATTTATTCCTTTGTAGTTTGTAGCAATGGGTTATGCAATAACGTGTGTAGGTAGAGGCGTTTAAAATGAGCTACGTTCTTCAGTTCGTTGTGCAATACACTAATGTTATTATAATGAACATGTTTAATGAATAATTTTGAAGAATAGTTGTGAACTATTGCAGTGAACATCATAATCAGCTGTTAGCTGAAATATGCTTATTCTCTCTAAAAAAAAATCTGAAACTTTTGTACTTAACGGTTTTTGACAAAACTTCAAATTAACCGCAAAATGGTACCTTACAAAATGTAACAACTTTTTGAAATTTTTAATAAAATAATTTATAAGTTGAGAACGGTTGATTTCACAGCTTAAAGTGTAAATGCAAATTGTTATATGCAACACAAACAACAAACAAACAAAAGTTATATTGGTTTAAAAAGTTTTAGATTGAAGTTCACATTCTTAACACCCCGTACAATGTATTGATATTTTGCTTCAATAGAATCAGGATACTATGTTTTTAAGCAAAATTTTACTAAAAAAAAACAATTTACGGTGCACATGCAGCGTTGCAAGCTGCATTTCATAAGCAAATAAAAAATGGGTAGTTTTAATTTAAAAATTACAGTTTGATCTTGCCTCACTTTTCTGAGACACTTTGTATCATATAAGATACTTTTAAAATGTGCGCACTTCGTGCGTTAACAACTTTTATATAAAACTATTTTTCGAAAGTTCAACACCATCGGAAATAATGGACTCTATCGCACTTAAAAACCACCCTCTATATGAAACTATAACAGAACGAAACTTGGTTGGCTCTAACTCGCAATTAGATGTCCAAGCGAATCATGCAAAGAAAATTAGAAGTTTACATTTAAAATAAGCAAGTTAAGTTATACTTTTCATGCACCCTTTACAGCTGGAGGTCTAATTGTATTTTACAGGGTTTCGGCACGACTCATTAATATCCAGAAACAAAATTTGAAATTTCCAAAACAACTGTAAGTTGGGAAAGTTCAAATGTACGGTCGATGTAAATCACCCTATATGGGAGCTTAGCTGAATCAAGGCCTGTTATCAGGTAAAACATTGGAAAGTTACAGTTCACTAGAGGCAACAATAGTGGCGCCACGATAGTCATAGACAAGGTGTACTATTTGAGCAAGGTCTATGCGAGACCTGTGAGAGCCATCTTTAATTCACCAATGTCAAGAATAATATATTTTTTAATTCCGTTAGTGGATGAGTAGACCGAGACATCGTGTCATATGAACAAGGTTCGTAAACGTAATCGACTTCGTTGTGTTGTTACCACACCTTTGTTTCAACAACAACAACAATAAACAAACTTAAATGTGTGTTTTAAAAATAAGTATTTGTGATATCACCACAGTGACAAACAATAAATTACACCGACTGCTTACAAGTTGTTGACACATTTATCGGACAACTTTTTCCAATTAATTTCCAATTAATTGTACATACTTTCCTGACTGTGTTTCAATTCCAAATCAAAATTAATTCCTGAGTTTCAGTCATTTATTGTCTCTATTTATCAATTAAAATACGTTTCGGTGTATTTTTCCACCATCATCAGTTTTTATATGTAGCCATGGCCATGGCATACATTTCTATGTATTAAATTAAAATTCAAATGTATGCCAAGGCTTAAAGCAGCAACAACGCTACACATAAAAACTGATGATGGTGGAAAAATACACCGAAACGTATTTTAATTGATAAATAGAGACAATAAATGATTGAAACCCAGGAATTAATTTTGATTTCCAATTAATATTAAATAATTTGCTCGAAAATTGCTTGCATTTCCTGAACTCTCAAACTCCTTTTTGGAAGGAATATGACAATGACCAACTAACAGCTCTACACTGCGTTACAAGAGCTGAGGATTACAATTTATTGTAGAAAACACACCTACCTAGCCTTTGAATTCTATTTCTGAACTTCTGGGCACTTTGGTAAATTCAACAACAGAAATTATCTTCGATTGGTACAGTAAACACATTCTTAAGCTAATATAATGTACTACTCTATAGACCTTCGAATATAATTTATAAGGCTGAAATAAAAAAATATTCCTTTCATTTACCTGGAACGTTCGTTTGAGGAATCTATGTTCATGGTACATACATAAAACCATTATGAACGTTCTACCCACATAGCAAAATGATATTCCCAGAATATACTTGGAACATTCATGTGATGTACATGCATATTCCTGGGACATACATGAGTTATATTATGAACATTCCATGAATGTCCCAGGAATCTGTCAGAGTTAATACACTGAATGTTCATAGTATGTTCTGGGAATGTATATGGTATGTTCGGTGAATGTACATGTGTATGTTCTGACAATGTACCTGGTATGTTCAGTGAATACACATGTGTATTTTCTGGGAATGTACATGGTATGTTCAGTGAATGTACCTTGTATGTTCAGTGAATGTATATGGTATGTTCAGGGAATATACATACATATATGTAACGAAAGAAAAACGATACTCTATTTCCTCTTATTACTTTATTCACATATTTAAGTATTTACTGATGTAATTTTTTACGATGTAAGTTACTTGCAACTAATCTAAAACTAATTAAATGGATAATAAATAAATTAAAATATAACTTATAACTAAGGACTAAAAATATAAATTAACATTTTCAGCATTTTTGCTGTTGTCGCAATGATGTGTGACTGTGAGACAAAACACAAACCTTTATCTGAAAAACTGCACTTATTATTTTATATTCCTTACATGTTCCCGGTCTGTGGCTTTTGCCCTTTCATTTTATTCTCGATCAATTAAAGTGTTTCGCAATGTGCTCTTAACAAAAATTCTATAAGCAATTACAAACTTTAATATTGGTCACAACAACAAAATACAGTTAATAGTTTTACATTGATAGAAGAGCATTTTCGTTCATCCACAGGTTATTCTATTGTGTAGAAATACAGTTAGGTATAGCAATTTGCATTGATACATTACTTTCAATTTACTTTTGTTGCTTTCCTTCGATCCAAGAAAACATGCTTATCGCAAAATAGAAATCAACCAAAAGTAAACTGGTAAAAATAAAACAATACAGATAATAGTTTTACATTAATAGACGAATAATTAGGTTCAGACAACCTTACTTGTCTCTTATGCGAAAATTTTTCGTGTGTGGTTTTCTCACTGGATCTGGAGATCTGGTAATCCCTGGCATCTTCAATGCTTCAAGTCCACAACAGCGACATTACCTGTAGTATAGAACACAAAATAATAAAATAATCAAATGTATTTAATTTAAACACCAACATACCTTTACATGTTTGCGGGGTTTTAAGCCATAATTATACCGTAATTTCCGTCTTGAAGACACATCATAACACTGAGGCACAAGCACGGTTTTTATATTTTGACTCATATTTATTTTTCGCATCGATTAATATGGATTTTTAATATTCTCAAGTTTTCGAAAAACACGTAACGTAACCAGAGATAAACATAGATAAAGACAAGCAGCAGTTGTCTCTTGCTCCAATGTCAATCATGGAAAAGTGCTGAATTGTCACACCTCGGATATCACATCACTGATAAACCGATATTGACAAAATC